CTCAGCTGAGCTTCAAGAGCTGCTTTCTTGCTGTTTTCCCAAGCAGCAACAGCAGAGAGCTGCTTTTGGGCTCTGTTAACATATCAGAAAAAATTCTATTAGTACAGGAAAATCTGAACATAAGAACACAAGCCATAAAAAAGATCCTCAAATGAACACTTTAAATTTGTAGAAATATTCCTCCTATGACATATTGGCCTACAGCTTACAATCATCTTAAATATAAGCCTCATAATTAATCTTGAATCATATGAAATTATGAATGGTTAGTGTGCCATGCTAACCGTTTCAACACTGAAATTATCTAGATCTTCTCAATTTTTCTTTTTTCTTTTTGCAATGTAACTTGGTTTCACTTTTATGCTTGTAATGGTAAAGTGCAAAAATGAACTTAAAATAAAGGCTCACTTATTCTCTGCTTTGGATTTTTCACTTTCTTCCCATGCCTTCACATTAGACAACCTTTTCTCTTTCTCTATTTCTGCAAGAGCAATATCTGTTCACCATAGAATTGCATCTGTCATTTGTTAATGAAGATACATGCTATCCAGAAAAATTAATAAGTCAACAATCATCTCTATAAGCCTTTTTGGAAAGAGATTTCTTAACATAAGTTGGTATAAGCACACACTCATCTTACATAAATAAACAGCGAAGTATCAACTAGAAATCAATTCATGTCTATTTGCCATGAGTCTAGAAACTAGATGGTTCATCTCAAATTGACTAATTCAAGCAGTTATAAAACAAAAAGCACCATATATTATGTGTAAATTACTATATAATCAATATAAAAAATTAAAAAATAAACAAGAATATGATAGAAGTCTAACACTAACCTCTATCAAGGGATCCACCTGAGACCTTCTTTTTTACAGGTTCTGGTGGGGTCTCTGTAGACAAAAAGAAAAATGGTTAAGAAAGGCAATGATCTCAAAGGTAAAATTGCATTAATGTTAAAGATTGCAGGTTGGACTTTATTATCAGATTCTAATTAAGGTGAGCACTTTCTCATTATGTTCTTTAAATTAAAGAAAACCAGCTGGAAAAAGAAACAAATTTGGAATAACTTTTCCTGTTAATCAAAGCATCATTAACCAAAGTGGAAAAAGACCTTTCTCCTCACAACATTTGAGACAGTGTTTTATGATATAACTTGGAGGACCTGATTTACTGGGGCAGTGTAAACATTGAACATTAAGTTATAGACCAAGGAATTATTGACATGCTTTTTGTTGAAAGATAATTGCTTTAGTAACAGTGGATCCTTGTTAGAAATGTATAAATTATTAGAAGAGAAGAGAAGAGAATATGCCACAAAAACAGTTCAGTTAGCTTGACGGAGAAACTATTACAGCTAAGTAGATAAACAATTATGCTTCTAAACTAAGCATAAAAAATGGGTGGAGCCAACTTTGAAAGCCAAAAGGAAAGTGAGGTTACTCGAAAAAGAAGAAACATGAAAAAAAAAAGCATACTCACATCTAATCATTGAAAGGAAACCCTAGAAGATAACTCTAATGGGGAGAGCCATGAACAGAGTAATCAAATAAGTGAGGAAAATTATTCTTATAATTTACATCTCTTAAATGCTCTCAAAGGATAAATCAAATTAATCCCATACTAAAGAATCCTTAATGAAAGAGAAAACAAGATCACAACATCACAAAACATAACACAGATAAGAAACATTTCAATACTAAAATGCAGCAACACCAACTTCGTAGCCCTTGTAAGTAAGAATTAGCACAAACCAAGAGCCATATCTCTTTAATTCTATTTCCTTTCATTTCCCATTTACCAACGTTTTCTCATAAACCAAGGAAAAATCAAGAACAATCACAAACACCACATTCATCTCTACAGTAGTACCGACCAAAACCAGACAAGTCAATCGCAAAAAGCTGCAAATTTCATGACAACCGACAATCATTCCCATGGAAGCCAATCAGCACCAAAACGAAGCACCGAGCAGTACGGCATAGAAACTTGAACATGAATGAATAGAAACTGAGCCAACAGTGCAAATCAATTCCAAGAACTTATCGATGAAAAAGAAAAACTATATCCATATAACCAACAAGAGAAATTCAAGCAATAATACCAATTAAACCATCTAACAGATCATGCCATACAATTAAAAAACACTATTCACGTTCCTTCATCTTTCCATCTTTTTCTCATCATGTAGTTGTAAAAGTTGGATTTTGACTACAACCCATGATTCAGAGAAAGCAAAAGTATGAAACTTTGATCAACGAAAAAAGAAAAACTCACTCTCACTGTCCTTCTCCTTCTCCACAACAGCAAGAGCTTTGGTTTCCGCTGGCGGAGCAGGCGCCGCCGCCGCCACCACCGCTTTCTTGTCAGCAGCGTCAAGTGTCGGCGCCTCAGCCAGCGGAGGCTGGGGTTCCACCGCAGCCGGAGCCGGAACAGAAGCTGGTTCAGCCTTGGTTTGGAGCTCTGCCATAGGTTGGGAGTTTGGTTCCGTTGAAGTTCTGAGAGTTGGAACGATAGATAGTCACGTGTTTATCTGGAAACAACAACAACAACGACAACGTTTGTATGTAGCAACGTTCCGATAAACAAGTGTGCCCTTCAACTCCAAGTACCTTTCAATTTAAAGCAACACAAAACTCTTCATTCATGTAACATCATCGATCATATTAGGGTTTTTTCACCAAAAGTAGGCATAGAAATGGGCAAATTCAACCAAAATTACAAAAATAAGAAGTCGTGGGCCCAAACGATTACCATATCCAGAAGTCGATTTTGGGGTGCACGACTTCAACACTATGCATATAAAGAGTGTGAAGTCGTGTAGGGGAGACACGACTTCTTCAATTGAAGTCGGTATGGTAATCGATTACAACATGTGATAATCGATTACCATACCCAGAAGTCGTTTTTGGGGTGCACGACTTCAACACTGTGCATATGAAGAGTGTGAAGTCGTGTAGGGGAGACACGACTTCTTCAATTGAAGTCGTTTTGGCCCCCACGACTTCACTTTGGGTCAAAATTTGCCCATTTTGGTAATAAAGAGGACATATTTGCCTAGTTTGGTGCAAAAACTTCATATTAGTTTATGATAGTACACAATTAAATTATTAAGTGAAACTTAAACTCTATTAGCTTCTAATAGCACCTAATTAAATTATATCTTTGACAATAGTTTTAATTGTTAAGCTAGCTTCTTTTTCTTTATACATATTCATTTCTTGAAATTTAACAATTTTTTGTTATTTTGAGTTAAGTTAGTTTAAAATAATTCAACAAATTCAAAAATATTAATTATATGTTTTTTCACTCAACGTTGACTAGTTTTACCGTTACTTCAGTTTGAACGGAAAGCGTGGAACCCGCGTGAGGCAATGGCCGTGGACGTAGGAGATTTTGGACCGTTGATCGAAGGCGTGGTTTGATCGTGCGGTAGATGTGAGTGCCGACAGGTAATACAGGCAAAAAGTAGCCCACGTATGCATGGATGAAAATGAATGGAGTTTATCTGTTTGTTTATGCATTTAATGAATGGGATGGGGGGATGGGGGCATGTGTCATGTGTATGTATGTATTAATTTAGAATCGCATTCTTCTTGTGGTGGGTCCCACCTTGGATTTTCATTGACGTGGCACCATCTTTCAAAAGAGATCTGGTAGATAAGTGGTAAGTGATATCAGCACATTTTGTTTATACAAAATTAGATAGCTCCAAATATGTTAAAACAGTAAGGGTAATTCGGTAAAATGATTTTTTTTTCTAGTAGTGGTGATTATAAATTGAAACTAAATATAATTCAGTAAAATTTAAATCCATCTTAATTAAATTAAAATTATTTGGATTTTTAAATTTAATTTAAATTAGTTTAAATTTAAATTAAATTTGGCCTATTAATTTGATTAAATTTTAAATATTTTTTAAATTATATTTAAATATAAATTTAAATTGACTTGACTTGA